AACAAAAACCTCGCTGCCTAAAGCACATTTAAAATAACTGCAAATAAAAAAAAAATGACTAACAAAACCAGACACCTGTTGCATCTTGTGTTTTAACCTCAAAGCTGGACGCTGAGTCAAAATCTAGTAGTCACCATAGGTTTCACTACTGATTTTTCCAGTGTGGATGGGAGGTAATCTCCTGGGTCAGGGGCTTGCACAGCTCATAACCTTGGAGGGAAAGGGACATACTGAAGAGGAACTGATCAGATGCCTGGCTTCAAGTTCACAGTCTTTACAGCCAGCCTGAAGTAGTGGACAGCTTCCTGCTGAAAGCAATACACAAGGCTGGCTTTCTGTCTGGACTCACATGATGCAGAACCTGCGTGTACCTTTACTTTTTAAGGAGAAACTGTGTCACTTGACTTTCTTCTAGTGTGTGTGTGTTCCAGCCAACAAGTAAAATACCTAAAGAACCAAAAGGAATCACTACCCAGAAATGGCGGTCAATGTTCCAAAATTTGATCAATAAAAATTGCTTATCTATTGCAGACTAATTGCTAGCCAGGAGAGCCTCATGCTTTGGAGATTATAAATGCACCTGCACTATTAGGCATTTCTTTCACTTGTTTAAGCAATCTTCAAAAGTATATAAATATTTATAAAAGGCAGCCTACTATTTTTACCCACCTGTAATTTTTTTGAGCAAAATCAAATTAATTCATTTATAGCTGCAGAGCATCCTAAAGGCAAGGGCTCTGTCAACAGTTTAGGGTCCTTTGAGCACCTACCCAGCACCCAGCACCCAGCCCCTAGCACTAAGGGCCCAGAACATGCTGATTGTGAATTTATGGTGGAGCCCATTTTCAATTTAGGCAAATGAACAGTGTAAGCAAAAAGACAATGTAGAATGATAGGCAAAAAAACAAATAACCCCCAAAGCAGCCTATATCCCTGGCTCATGCCTTCTTCATCAATTAACCAGGCTGTGTTCTGAGCACTGGAGCACTGGGTGTGGTTGAGCATGTGTTTCCCTCCTGGTAAAATTAGTCCACTTTGGTGAAGTCTGCCTTGGGCTCATGATCTCTATCTCTACCAAGCAACCACTTAATAGTCTCATCTCACTTTCCCTTTTCTTTGTCTCGTCAAATACAAGCCATAGTATCTTTGGGGGGTTAAGGCTTCTTTTCCCTTCTTCCCCCCATCTCAAGTCCTTGGGAGATCAAATCCTCCATACCCATCAAGCCTGCCTCTGTGGAGATCTAAAATCTGCTAACATGGGTCTCTCTAAATGTAGTTATAAAGGGCAAGGATATCGAAGAGGAAAACTGCGGATTGACAAGAGAACTGCCTTTTTATTTCAGAGCTACTCCAGGTGAGACACCCATCGAGGACAATGCATGCTGGGATAGATTTCAATGTCAAGGTTACCTCTTCCGAGAAGCACCAAGTTAACATATGTCTTTCTATAATAAGGCGATAGACCATAGACCGAGTAACCGAGATTAGTAATTTCTCCTTTCTGTTAGTAGAAGGCCAGCTAAACTAATAAAGATTCCTACTGGATTCTAGTGACTATATTCAACAATAGGTCAGGACACAAAGACAGCACACACATTCACACACACATGAACACACGCACACATGTACAACAACCCATAAAAATCAGTTTAAATTCTCCACTAATCAGCTCTAGCATTGTTGGCTAATAAGAAACTCAGCATGATCCTAGCAGAATGGCCTTCACGATAGCCACTGTCCTTCCTTCCTTTCTGCATGGACTGAAGAGCAAAGCACATCACAGTGGCTGACCCATTGTCCTAGTATGATTCGTGACATGCTACATGTCAGACTCATTGGCTTGTTTGATAAAATCCTTAATGGTCAAGAAGACATAGAAACCTCAGAAAGAAATCCCCTGAAACTTTACTTCACATATCTATTTTAGCCCTAATGAACCTCAATTCATTACCCTAAATGCCACGTTTTAAAAATGTAAGCACTGTGGCTGGAGAGACAGCTCCTTGGTAATTCAGATCACAGCACTCATGTGACAATGAGGCACAGAGATTTGTGAATGTAATCCTAATCTGTGGAGGAAGAGATAGATGGATCCCTGGAGCTCAGTGGCAAGCCATCTAATTGAATTGATGGTGGGTTCAAATTCAGTAAGAGACTATGACTCAAAAAGTAAGGCGGAATGCCAGGTATGGTGGTGTCACCCTTTACTGCTGAGGCAAGTGGATTTCTGTGAGTTTGAGACCAATCTGGTCTACATAGCAAGTTCTAAGTCAACCAAGGTTGTGAAGTGTCTAAAAAAAGGGGGGGTGGGGGAAGGGAGCTGGACTGAGTAATACACTCAGTGTCAATCTTTGGTATGCATCACACACACACACACACACACACACACACACACACACACACGGAAACAAATCCAGTTTATTTTTTTAATAAATGGTATTCAATTTTCTACAGCACTATGATTGGACAGTGTCTTTGAATATGTTTAAAAACTTCAAAGCAACTACAGATATCCCTCTTACCAATACTACGTTGCCATTTTCCCAATGCACTTGAGGCCTGATAAATTCAACAGGACTCCTAGTATTTTCAAGGCTGTGAGAGGCTCCAAGAAGGAGGCCAAAGAACGGACAGGCATTGGAATCATTGAGTGACAGGCTGGGCCAGCTCCCTGTATACATTAATAAATTAGAATTTTAATTGCGTCTCTGTCTGCAGGAGATGCCCTGGTACTTTAATATGTACCAACAATTGGCTATGTTATGGAATCTGCAATGTGGCCTCCGCTGCTGACCCCTGAAACACAATTCCCAGACTGACTACGGAAACTGTTCAGTTTGATCCTTTCAACTTATTTGAGTCCTGACAAATAAGCTCACAGCTGAAAGGTCAACACAGTCATATTTCATCCTCCTGAGCTGTTCTTAAGACATCTGCACAACAAAGCCCTTCTTACAACACCTGACATCCACCCTCCACGGCACTGCACCTCATTATAGCTGTCTCCCGCACCCGCGCCCACACTACATTAAGAGGGAGCCAGTTGCTGGGAGTTTACCAAACAGCTGTCTTTGGAAGAGTTTGTAAACAGTTCATGCCGACGTTCAACTTGCCCAATGACCTGTCACTATAAGGTTGAACTTTTTTGGAAGAGGGACAGTCTCCCTGACACAGTAGGAGAACTAGAATTGGCATACCAAGGACAGGACAATCTGTGAAGGGTACTTTGGAAGTCAGCATTAATTTATCCTAACCCAGGGAGAAGTCCACACATGTAGATCGTACACCAACTACTAATACATGGTGTCACTGCTCATCACAAATTGTTACAAAATTTCCAGTGAGAAACCCATCCTTAGCCTCCATTTGGGGGGCACCTAATACCCATCTCCTACCTTGACTGTGGGCATAAATACCCTGACTCAAGTTTCTTTGAAATTTCTATCGCAATTTTCTACTCCAAGACCCAAATCCAAATTAGATTTTATGAACTCATTCCTCTTTCTACTCTATTAACCTCTTGGCCTCGATGTGCCTGAAATGAGAAGTTGTTGAAACAATCTTCTTTTGTTATCATTTCATAAAAATTGTTCCCCGTTTTCAATTAATGATTCAGAAACATTCTGCAAACATCTACCGAAGGAGGGCATGTGTTCTATTATACTCATTACTGGGTATAATATCAGAAGCGCTATATCCTCCTGAGGCCAAATAGAAGCTCTTGACACTGCAGACATCTGGAGATGCTAAGCAGCACTCCTTTTTGGACGATGCATTGGACATTGTGGAATGGTGACCAGCTTCCTTGGTCCAAAACCAATGAGATATCAGGAACAACTCTGCACCCTCTACCCTAGTTATGAATAGCAAATATGTCTCCAGAATAAGGAACTTCATATGTTGTTCAATGGGGAGGTCAATTAATCTAGCCACTCTGAAAAGTATGATGAAGGGTCCTAAAATAGTAAGAGGATCCATAAAAAATTAAATCCAGAACCATGATATGACTTAGCTAGGCCACTCCTGGGAATAAGCCAAAGGAAATGGAATCAGTTGAGGTTTGAATATAAAATGTCCCTCACAGTATCAGGTATTTGAATACGTGGTCCCCAGTTGGTAGCGCTGTTTGTGGAGGTTTATGTGGTTCATCCTTGCTGGAGGAATTATGTCCCTGGGGTCCGGCTAGGAGATTAAAAGCTTTATGCCATTCCAGATTACTTTCTTTGCTTTATACTCAGGGTTGAAGGTGGGAGCTCTCAGCTTTTTGCTGCCATGCCTCTCAGCCATGATGGACTTAAATCTCTGGAATGGTAAGCCCAAATAAACCTCCTCATCCTGCAGTTGCCTTCATTCAAGTGGCCTTAGTCATGGTGTTTTATCGAAGCACCAGAAAATAAATATTTGGCATAGAGACATGAAATTCACACACTCCTGATAGCAAAGATGTGGAATTGGCCTATGCGCCTATCACCAGGTAAGTGGATTAACAATAATGGAATCATTTCATCCACAAAGACCGGCTTCAAAATGACCACAGTAAAATGGTTGGAGATGGAGGATTTATCAGTAACAAAACTAGCTAGACTCAGAGAGGCAAGTACTGTCTGCCCTCTTTATTTGCGGAAACTAGAAAGAGTCAACATGAAGGTAGGAAAATGGTGGCATGGGTTGGAAAGGAGGGATAGTGAAGTAGGAATGGGTGGGTGGATGGATGTGAGCAGTGCTGCTTTGTACATGTATGAGCCTCTGGCATGTTGAGTTATGAGTTGAATTCTTCCCAACATTAAAACTTTTGGCATAAAACAGCACCCCCCCAATAAACTTCCAAAACTCAAATAGATATTTTTCTTATGACATCATATTCAGCTCATAAACTAAAAACACATATTTTGCACAAGATTTCCTCAGGTAGTTTGCAATGGTCTTGATAATCCGCCTCTGTACAGCTCCTCAGCCATGGAAAAGGGTATGAGAGTAAGTTTTTGAAAGAGAATTGCTACCTGAAGAGCTGGTTGCTTGTCATTCCTCTTGGGAGACTTTAATCCACTAACTTGTTGTTGTTGTTGTTGTTGTTGCTGCTGCTGCTGCTGCTGCTGCTGCTGCTGCTGCTGTTGCTGCTGCTGCTGCTGAAGGAGGAGCTGCCTTGCCACCTGCAGGGCCTATAAGGAAAAGGGAAGGGAAAGGCTTTGTTATTGCACAGGTCTAGGGACTCCCTCATGAAGACCTCAGGATAAACCCTTCAGGGCTGCCCCCACCCCCACCCCAATTTCCCATTTCCAGGCAAAGGAAAAGTCCAATGAATCTTCTAGCCAGTCTACATAGAAAACATCCCTGAATGTGTCTACATTTCCTTTTTTTGAGTGAAATTACCCATGAGTCCTTAGATACGGTGTCTTATGTAAGCAGATACTATGTTCCCACTAAAGAGCTACCTTGACACCTGTAAGAATGAATGGCTGGTGAGGACAGAAATCAGAGTGGGCTCAGGAGGGACAAGGAAAGGTTGTTATTGGAGACACCATATATTACTGGATTTTTCTTGGGGAAACTTGGGAACTCAAGTTTTATATATTTTCACCCCACCTGTATCCAAATAACGAAAAAGAACTGGGCAGTGGATCACAGGAAAAGTGAGCCATAATTGGAACAACTATTTCCATAGAAGGCCTAGAGAAGTTGGAAGCATATCTTGAATGATCTCACTGGAAGACATCAATGGGCTGGGAGACAGCTCAGCTGATTGGGGGCTTTCCGAGCACACGCAAAGCCCTGGCTTCAATTTCTAGTACCACATGAACTGGGCATGGTAGCAAACACTGCAATCCTAGCATTTAGGAGGTAGAAGCAAGAGGGTTACAAGTTTAAGGTCATCCTCTCTCTCCTCTCTCTCTCTCTCTCTCTCTCTCTCTCTCTCTCTCTCTCTCTCTCTCTGTGTGTGTGTGTGTGTGTGTGTGTTCCTAGCACATTGACTATGTGTAGATGTTCTCCTTCCCAACATGAAAACTTTGGCTATGGTTATCTCCAAATATCTCAGAAGTTCAAGGTCATTCTCAGAGGCTGTTCAGTACAGCCTGAGCTGCCCTGTGTAGACCAACAGAGATAACATAAATGGAAAGCTCATCTTAAACATCTCACTATGGACCTAAAAACCAAGCTAGTTAGGTTAAATGACTCTATCAAGATTTTAAAATGGGATGGTTTTCTTTCAAGGTAGCAGTTACTAAAGTGTGGATTGGCAACAAGAGAAGAGAAACATAGGGGAGACCTCCAAAGGCTGAACATATGACTGGCTAGCCCTTGTTGTTGTTGTTCAAACGAAAAAAGAAGTATTAGAAACAAGGGCCAGGCGTTGGTGGCGCACGTCTTTAATCCCAGCACTCAGAGGCAGAGGCAGGCGGGGGTCTGTGAGTTCGAGGCCAGCCTGGTCTCCAGAGCGAGCGCCAGAACAGGCTCCAAAGCTACACAGAGAAACCCTGTCTTGAAAAAGAAGAAGAAGAAGAAGAAGAAGAAGAAGAAGAAGAAGAAGAAGAAGAAGAAGAAGAAGAAGAAGAAGAAAAGAAACATGGTCAGTATGAAGATATTCGTAATAGCAGGCCACCACGCCTTTGTGAAAATGAGAGCAGGACCAGCCATAGGACACTGAGGTATACAGGTACTACACCAAAAAAATCACATGAAAAGTCAGATTGCTTGGGTCTACTCAAATGAGAACCAGAATATACACATGGAGAGTCAGAAAGGATGTTCAGAAAATGATGTAGTTACACAAAAGGAAAATCACTGAATATCATATAAAATAATCTCTAAAGATTTTATTTAAAATGGTGTGTGTGTGTGTGTGTGTGTGTGTGTGTGTGTGTGTGTGTGTGTGTGTGTGTGTGTGCATGCAGGTATGTCATGTATGAAAAGGCATCTGGAGGCCAGAGAGGGTGTCAGATGACTTGCAGCCTGAGTTATAGGAGACTGTGAGCTGTACCAGTTAGGTACTGGGAACTGAACTTAGGGTTCCCTGAACAGCAGACAGTGCTCTTAACCACTGAAAGATCTTTTTAGTCCATATATATATTATTTGTGCCTCAAGGAACAGGCACACAGAGATACGATCAATGCTTCAAACAAAATCTGATAATGTGGGCTTGGAAAGTAACCATAAAGGACTGATATGGTACTGGCTTCCTCGGAGAAGAATTGCCAGGTGACTTGGATAGTGATGTGTACAGGTATGAGAACCCAGCGACAATGCTGAGGGCAGGCTGGGTCAGAAGGCTAGGGCTTCCATATACTCTACTCGTGAAAACGGGAAAATGAGAATGACTGGAAGGATTCCTGCACTTGAGCAGTCATCTATAAAAGATGGGTGTGCAAAGGTAGACTTTCTGCTTAGACAAGCTCACTCAACAGAGCTCCTAAGGTAATATCATAACAAGAATGCTTAGGACACTTCCTATGACCGAGTAGCGCCTCTGTGGCCAAGAGGCACAGAGGCACACAAACAAACAGAAGCACTAAATGGCACGAGACACAGGAAAGGGCTTGTCTTCAGTAATGAACCCTGCCTATGCCACCACCTGAAGACATCCACCCTCTTCTCCCAGGCTGGTCACCTTCTGCTGAACTCACCCCCACGAGCCCGGCATAGGAAGTGCCCAGGTTCTTTTGCCTAGAAAGGAGAGACACATTTGCCTGCTTGAAAGAGAAGCTGTCTGAGAGGGGCAGCTGGAAGGTAAGATGCCCGGGAGAGTTGCCTGCTGTCTTGGAGGAGGATTCACCATCGCTGGACTCTGGGTTTCCTTGTCTCCTTGGAGACGTTCAGTACATGTGTAGGCGGAAAAGTGGGCAGAGTGAAGATTTCATTTATATCATATAAGAAAAATAGTCCCCTGTGCAAGGTGCCTGCAGGAGCAAATGCCTCCCCTACTATCCACATTCCCTTAGCTGTCTCACATAAAGCTCCCAGGATTTTCATGCAGGACAGAAAACTATTCTACCCCAAAGCCTTCCCATAAGGCTTCCCTGGGTAAATCCCCAAAGGAGGCCGAAGCCGTGAGGTGGAAGCAGAGAGTGGGACCACAGCAGATAGTGCAAGATACTGCAGAGAAAACGGCAACTGCATCATTTCCCTGGATTCACAAAATACTTGAAGACTACACTTGTGACTTTTAAACAACTGACTCTCTAGAACCAATACAGGCTACCCTAAACTCAGTCAAAGGGGAGGTATTACATGTCTCTATGAGAAAGCATTCATACACACATAATGATTCTCATGAACACATACATGTATGTCAGAAGACAGCGGAAAGAGCAAGCCAAAGTGTCCTCTGCAACCAGTGTTGGCTGAACAGGCTCCATGTAGTCCTATTGTATTCAGAGTACACCGTAAGAATCCTCAGGCTTACTTTGACAGTTTTAAGCAGGAAAAATGATTTAAATAGCTGGTGTCTTTTAATTATTATTATTATTATTACTGTATGACAGGTGTACATATCCACCTGTGGAGGTCAGAAAACATTTTGTGACCTCATTTCTTCCCCTCACCTTTATGTGTGTTCCAGGGATTGAATTCAAGTCCTCAGGCCTGTGTAACAAGGACATTTTACCCACTGAGCCATGCTGCCAACCCTGTCTTTTTCAAACACAATATAGGGTATGTGAACTTCCCTGCTCATATGATGAACCCCAGACTCCCCACACATTTCATATGGAGCCTCACTATGGAAAAGGAGGGAAGACAGAAACACAGAGAAGAGTTGTAGGAGCGTGTGTGTCTACAAAGGAATGCCATTTAACCTAACGAAGACAGAATGGAACAAGATGGAGCCATACAAAATGGCTTTAGGGGTTCATTCTGTAAGTGAACGAAAACAAGGAGAGGAATTTCAAGTATTTTGGATGGAGAGAACACTAGTGCACAGAATAAATCATTTGAAACTGTTACAAATATTCCATGTTAATTCTATTGCCTTATGAATATGCTAGCAAAGGTGGGAAAAAATATCACTCTCAAAAAATAAACTGAAAACCAGCATGGGTCTCAACAAGAATTTAAAAACCTAATTGACATAAATGTGTAATACGCTTTGACACCACACACCTCTTATGGGTGTTTTTACAAATTCCATGTTATCTAAACTTCTGCCATCTAGAGTCGTCAACCACAGAAGGGACCACAAAGCTTTAATGCTTAAGACTTTGGATTCCCCTAGGTATGACAGTACACACTTGTAATCCCAGGACTGAGGAGGTGGAGACAGGGTGTCTTCGTGAGGGTTTCTTTTGATGTGAAGAGACACTATGACCACAGCAACTCTTCTAAGGTAAAGCATTACACTTTCAGAGGATTAGTCCATTATCATCATGGTGGGACATGGCAGCAGGCAGGCAGACATGGTGCTGGAGCTCAGAGTTCAACATCCTGACTGGCAGGCAACAGGAAGTGAACTGTCTCACTGGGCATGCCTTGAGCATATATGATACTTCACAGTGCCACACTTCCTCCATCAAGGCCACATCTACTCCAACAAGGGCATACCTTCTTCATAATGCCCCACATCCTAACAGTGCCATTCCCTTTGGGCACTATTTTCTTTCATACCTCCACAGAGGGGGATTAGGAGTTCAAGGTCTTCCTCAGCTTCTATGTTCATGGTGGATCTGATCTGAGGAAGATTTGGAAAGACCGCCCCACAGACTTGTGTTCATGATACTTTCCAAATATGAGTCCTCAACAGCCTTTGTGACCCATGATGTATCGACGACACACATTGATACCCTTTAACTCAAGTTCCAGTACTTTATCCCAGGAGATGATCTCTGTGCTAGTACCACAGAGAAATGAGAAAGAACAGACCTTACTTTCCTAGCAATGTCTCAAGGAAAAGTGGAGAAAAAATTTTCATGTGCTGTTAAAAGATAAAACTAGACTGGCTGGAAACAGACTAAGTATGTGGATAAGTGTTTGTGTACGTGTGAGAGAAGGAGGAAGAGGAGGAAGAGGAGGAAGAGAAGGAAGAGGTGTGAGCATCCATGTACAAGGCCATGGATAAATCAAAGCGCTTCTCTTTTCCAGTACACAGTGCCTCTGGCTCATGTTCCAGGCCAAGCGCTAATGTAAATAACTTAAATGGCCCAATCCCATCTCTAGAGACCTTTTACTCTT